TCTCACACACACACACACACACACACTCCCATCCCCCCGACAGCCTGCCAATCAGATGAAGCATCGCAGCCGTAGGATAGCTGAGGTGCAGGAGGTGGAAGTCAAAAGTCAGCTTCCGGAGAACGAATAAATGGATGTGGACGCAGATGCGTGTAGAATCTGTAGATGCATGAAGAATTGGGAAAAAATCTGTGTAGATTCGTGTAGATGCATGAAGAATTGGGGAAAAATCTGCGTCCACATCCATTTATGCTTTCTCCCAACATTACCCTTTCCACTGCAGTTTTTTTAACTTTTTTTTGTTTTTTCCCGCACCTCAGCTGCATCCAAGACTGAAATTAGTGCTAACATTCGAAGTCCTCTGTACCTGTGGAGCATGAGTATATCCCCTCAAAGAACAGCGATCAATCAAACATCATGCCAACAATGTTGTGCACTTCACCTCTCTCTCTCTCTCTCTCTCTCTCTCTCTCTCTCTCTCTCTCCTCCCCCAACAGCCTGTCAATCAGACTTGCTTAGCGCCTGCGGCGCGGGCGATGTGGGCTATGCCCACGTAAAAAAACACAACAAAGATCAGTCAAAGTGCTCACACAGAGTCAAATGGACATATCATGTACAACTCTCTCTCTCTCTCTCTCTCTCTCTCCCCTCCCCCCCTCCCTCCCTGTCTCCCTCTCTCTCTCTCTCTCTTGCCATCTCTTCCCACTCGCTTTCTGGGTTTGTGTCAGTTATTTTGAGTCTGTCCTGAAAGTTTGAGTCGGAACAATTTTGTTCTGAGATTGTTTGAAGTCTGTTTGTTGCCAGGCTGTTTGAGTTGCTTTGAGCCTGCTATGAGTACATGTCGAGTGCGTTGTGCTCTATATGTGCATTTGAGTCTGTGTGAGTACTTTGACTGATCTTTGCAATGTTTTTTTATGCGGGCGTAGGCCGCACCGCGGGCGCTAAAGTAGTTTTTAATTGTACACGTTCAGGGTAGGGCAGTTGACATTTCAGCTCAAGAGCGCAGGTACCAACCCGCCTCACCTCAGGGTTAACGGCCGAGAGTATCCCGCACCAGGGGACCTTTACGGTACCCAGGCGCACAGGTGTCACCCTCAGTCCCCCTGAGTTGCTGTGAGCAGCCTTTTCCGTTCTCATCAAGAACCGCCTACCCCCAACGGGTACAATTTACTGGGCCATCCCCCCAAGGGTGTGCCTGATCCTAGTAGGCGAATGTAGTGTGGCCCAGCTGCTGGGTCGCAGACAGCAGGCACAGATCTAATCCCAGCCAGCCAACCATAGATGCTCCAGAGCAGTGCCACCTGCAAACTTATCTTGGCATAAGACACCGGCTCAGGACCCCCCCAGCCAACCGAGCACCATCCATCTAGGCACGGCAGGGAACCGGCAGCCTGCCCCTAAGCATGTACTCGGGCATGGCAGGGATCGAACCTGCAACCTGCGTCTCCGAAGAACGGGTGTATTTCAGGGCGGGGGAGGTGACAAAAGAAGGGGAAGGAATCTCTACAATTGGTCAGGGAAGGTAGGCATCGACTGTTACGTAGCTATCCCTATGTACTTCTGTGAGGATCGGAAGGAGTTGGAGGCTGTTGAGAGAACACTGATTCGAGTATGGTCTCCATCCTTAACCTCAAAAGGAACGAAGAGGAGGACCAGGAAACGGTGACGCCGTGGAAAGGAGCAGGAGAGTGGAAACGAAGGGGCAAGGGGCCCGCATGGACAAAAGCAGGGTGGAGCGGGCAGGATCTTGGCACTACGTACGGATAAGGAGGAAGCAACGGTGAGATTGGTCGAGTTGCTTAGGCGCTTGTCGAATTTTGCTCGTGGGCAGCTAACGTGAATCCATAGCAACGGGGTTTGCGTGTGGGCAGATAACTGGCGGGTGGTTAGGAGGTTGTTCGGCGAGTCTCACGTCGTAGTTGGAAAACGGACACGACCATTGCGCAGAAGTGCAAGGGCTTATTTGAGAATGAAGGAAGCATAGTGGTCGCGGGCGTGATAGAAGTAACACCTAGGGCACTCAGATGAAAGGATGAACTGGTGGGGATGTTCAAGGACAAGCGAAGAAGAAAGATTTTGTATGCGAAGACTAAGACTGAGTTAGTTGGGTGCTACAGCGTGGCAAAACTGTTCTCCGAGAATCGAAATAGGAAGAAGGCGAGGAGGTTGATCTCAGACGTGTTTAAAAGGAAATTTGGTTTGGTTGTTCGCAAACGTGTAATAGTGAAGGTCCAATTTGATGATCGTATTAAGAAAGGGTTGTTCTATTGGTACGGAAGGAGATCGGTCAGCTTCAGCTTGAGAGATTGATTGTGGAAATGGTTCGCATACACGCCCGTGTAGTGGGCGATTTAATTATGTGCAGGGGCCTCTCGGATTACCCGTGGGGGGGGTTCTAATTAATGTCAAAGGGCCTACTTGTTTGCTCTCTCTCTCTCTCTCTCTCTCTCTCTCTCTCTCTCTCTCTCTGTGTCTGTCTGTCTGTCTCTCTCTCTCTCTCTCTCTCTCTCTCTCT